TAACTATTATATAATCAAACAGTTATATTTATCGAATCCGTTATTTATTATCCGTTACTCACTTTCCGCTATCCGTCATCTGCTATCCGCTAACCGTTACCCGTTATTTGTTACAGCTATCCGCTATCCACTACTAGCTATCCACTACCCACTATCCGTTATCCGTTGAATTTTAACCACTGTATCAAACAGAACCTAAGTATTCGATACGGAAGAAAAGCAAAAAGTGGACGGAAATGAGTTACATGTGCCAGTTGCATTTCCATAAGCACAATTTCCATAAAACCTGTGCCAGAGTTAGCCAGCAGTTTAGATGGTCTTCGCGAAAATTGCCCCGCATATCTCAAAGAAAATAAGCTTAATTATGAATATTTTTCAGAGCAGTACAGGTGCGAGAGCTGTAAGGTCAGCAACAGCGACTTCTCCAAACATTGCCATCATTGTCTGTTTCAAAGGGTTAAAGCCAACTGTAGTCCTCGTACTTTGTAAAAATGTTCATTACCATCCCTCTACTAAGGAATGTTCAATGCCATCCCTCAACTTTTCTTACACCATAAATGTCAGCCCTCTACTATCCTTTTTTTGTTCAATGTCATCCTTGATTGGATGCCATCCATTTTGCTGTTAACTTTGACCGTTAATTACCTAACAGTCAAATATTCTACTTTTATTTATGAATTTTTCTAAGAGCACATATTAATGATGTTTTTTTGTAATAAATTTGTATAAAAAATATAAAAGTAAATATTAATTTTAGTCTTATTGTCATGTAAATAAATTTAATTAGACAGTTGATAAATTAAATATTACTTTTTATTTTTTTAAAACTTTTAACTGGTACCCTAAAAATACAAATTAGAATGGCTCTTCAGATACAAATTAGAATAACTCTTTGTTTATTAATTTTTTATCTACCTAGTGAGACTAATGGGACCAGTTTCTTTATTTTTTTTAGTTCTGTATTATTCTTTCTAGCTTTAGCACATAAATTAACGGTATCTGTTAATTCTCTATTAAAATTGGAATAAAATAGTTATAGGATTAATCCTTAAAAATTAAAAATATAATAATTTAATTTTAAAAGTTCAAAAATTATAAAAATTAGTAAACTAAAAAGAATTAATAGATAAC